ACTGATCATTTATGGTGAAAAATATAAACCACCAGTTAAACATCCTGATATTAGACTTACCTTTGTCTCCGGTGATCTCATAAAATAAAGGTAACAAGGGTCGATCAGCGAGGTTCACACCCTGTTGTAAATACACGTCCTTCATGGGTTTATATCCATCCAACACAACAATTCTTGGTCCAAAATTAATTTTTCTAATAGTTTTAGTCAATTATAATTGAAAACTATTTTTGTAGGCAACAGTGTGCAAGATGAAAAAGCAAACTTTAGCCCAAAAAACGTATAAGCATTTATTAAACATGTTGAACCCTGCTAGGTTTAGCTGGATTAAAGGCAGAGTAAGTGATTTTTCAAAAACACTTTAGAAAACTGATTCGGGCCGAATCGCAAAACAAACTTGTAGCCAATCAGCAATAAGGGGCGTACTCGTAATGTGGAGGAGAGCGCAATCAGTGCATGGGACGGACATTAGCCGAGCCGAGGGACAGAAAGATAGAGATGGCAGATAAAAAACAAAAGAGGAAAACGTCTGCGGAACGATAAGGCAAGAAGTAGGACCCGTGTAAATATCGGATCAGCTTTCCAGCGCTGGAGAGAACTCAAGGAGCGGAGGCCTGCGATCGGACGCTGAGGTTGCTTTGTTTCTTCTCAATAGGTGAGTAACACCATGTCTACAACAGCTAAAGTCTGCCTACACTGGACGCGATCAAACGACCGTTGAAAACCATTTGAAATTTGTGTCAGCACTTCATAAATAGAACCCGGCAGCAGTTTTCTGTTGGGGATTTGTTGCGCTGCGCCGCTCACGTCCGTAGACACGGTGTAACATTGGTTTTACTTTGTTTCACAGAACTAATCGTTGCCTGGGTTGAGTACGTATATGTGGGGCGGAGCTATCAAAATAGGGGCAAGACCCTTTTGGGGCAGGGGCATGTTTGTTTTGGTGATTTCAAATATCAACATTGGCTACCAGAAATCACTTACTCTGCCTTTAAGCTGATCGCCCAGCCTGATCAACACGCCCTAATCAGCCAACAGACTTGACCAAGGTGGTAGACAAGATAACCAGTTAAGACTGATTTTAGCTGCATTTTTCTGACAAGGACATATTTTAAATTTAATTTTTGCAAATACATTTTTTAGTATTATTTGTTGTGGAAACAGTTTACTAATCTATTAATTTAAGGGCAAGCAACGCAATCCACCATAACATGGTTTAGTTGCACTCGTCATTTTTTCTTCTTCTGTTTTTTTCCGTCCAAACTTGTAATTAAAATCGGTTGATCATCGACATCATGCATCTTCTTTTCTTATCTGTCATCGTTGGTGAAAACCTTTGGAACAAACATTCTATGATTAACCTAAAGCCACTACAACTACTTTGCGTTTTTACAGCGAGAATACATTTAGATTATAAAAACTGCAGATGAATCTTCTTGTGATCAATATGAAGGTGTCCAATAATTGGTAAAGACCATGGTCCAGGAGGAAAGCATTTTCAGCGCTTTATTTCTGAAATAATCACTCAGCAATAAAAACAAACATGAAAATATCAAAATAGTCTTGATATCGATCCACTCATAAAGGTGCCACAGGTCCGTGACTGTCATTTCCTGGATTGTTGTCGGGTTTACTGCCTGTAAAGCAAATTAACTGAAATGTCCTTGCTGTCTTGCACAATTTTGGCTCAGATTCTGGTTTATTTTATAATCAGTACTTTATGGTGTGAAAGCCAGCGTTAAGTAATATTCTTATTTTACGGGCATAGCCTGTAGAAGTGAATCACAACCCTGATTTTGGAGTAGCTATCCATAACACCACACAAGTGAATGATGACTCTATAATCAAACAACTCATCAGCTAGTTAGTAGACCTAAAATGAGTGTGCCAGATAAGAGTTTTCAAAGTGCATCTAAAATGTTCATTGTTGAAGCTACTTCAGGAACAAGGTTGGGGAACACTGTTCTAATTTGGACAATTCTGTATGTTGAAATTAAAGGAATATAAAGACTATATTTTCTCATTTATAGATATTAACTCATAAATTGTATTATTCCATATTTTCCAAATGGTTTCTTATCCAAAGTAAATTAGAATACATTCTATTACTTTATTTGATCAAATCATATATGGTACATATATACAGTATTAGAGGCACAAGCAATACGCAGACACATATTTGTGTGAATAGCTTGTCTTAACGTGACAATGCACATAATTGATATGGTTGGGAACATCGAGTGGTCCCCAGTTTGTAATCCATGCTGGGATCGACACCTGCTGGTGAAGAGAAAGTGAAGCACTGCAGCAGAGAGGAGAAAAAGAGGAACAGCTCCATCCGTGCCAGTTGCTCCCCAAGACACACTCTCTTTCCTGAAAATAGAAAGTAGAGAAAAGTACCTTGTATATGCTTTGCAGTTCTGCAAAGTAAGTAGGGAAATAACTGTATTCCAATATTGTGGTGTGAAAGCAGAGTTTTTGTATACCTAGAGAAAAAGGTAAAAAGGCATCTCTTCTCCTGAATTTGCCCTCAGCATCCAGAAAGTGACCCGGGTTAAAAGAGTGAGGCGTCTCCCACTCAAACTCATCAAACAGCACTGATGTCAAACTGCCAATCACAGCTGTACCCTAAAGAATAAAAATGTTTATATAGGATGAGTGGCTATGTACCAGCTTTAGTCTATTAATCAGTCAGACAGTTTAAATCAGTGGTGTCCAATCCTGCTCCTGTCCTGCAGAGTTTAGCTTCAATACTAATTAAACACACCTAAACCAGCTAATCCAGGTCTTGCATAGCTCCAGGAATGTGGTTGGGAGAAACTTTCATGGAGGTGTGTTGGATTTGAGTTAAAGACATTCAGTGCTCTACACTTACTAGTTCTATTGTACCTTTGGAATAGAATATTTTCCTATCAGAGTATCTTCCACAGTAGCCCGGGGCAAATTTAACGGGACAATATTCCAATCCTCTGTATCTCATGAATGACAGCATTGGTGTAGGGCATGTTGTCTTTGTCTGATGAAGATGGCTGTCGTGACCCTCCCACAACACCATCAATCTCCTCCTGAACTTTGGCTGAAAATACAATGTAGAGACAGTCCAAGACAAAACTAAGAGTGTGAGTATATACCACATTTTATGTGCACAAGAATGCAGTTTCTCACAGTAAACTCTCACCCTGTATCTCAGGATATTTTATCATGTAGAGAAGACCCCAGTACAGAGTAGTGGAGGTGGTCTCAGTTCCTGCTACAAACAGATCCAGAGCACAGATGCACAAGTTCTCCACATCAAAACCAGCAGCTGTGTCGTCGTCTTTAAGCTAAACAACATGATTGAGAGGTATTTCAATTCAATAGCCATACATTATTATAACCACAGCATTCCTGCACCAGCACACTTACTAGACGCCCGCCTAAGAAAATTTATTTTAGGCTATACTATACATTTTTGCAACCAGTTATTGGTGTGATTATTTAGTTGTTAAATAAGGAACAAGGAAGGTTTTTTTGTGCCATTTACAGGGAGAATATTATTATTTTTTTGTTGTTTTCCAGTACATCTTGTCTTGGGAGCACTCTTTAATTTTACATCTGTAAGTAGTTATCAGTTAAAGTAATTGGCCTTTATGATGTTGTAGCAGTTGATATTTAAAGATTTCTCTATGTTTGTGTCTTCCAGTGTGACATTCCAATCATACGGAGATGGTGGACTCCAGATGGTTTTCTCTGAAAGGTACTGGACATTTCCTCCCTAAGCCTACCCAATTCTTTATTTTCAACTTTTTGATTATTTCCTTAATTTTTATTGAAAATAAATGCCTTTACGATGTGATACGAGATTTGAAAAGGGAGAAAAAAAAAAGTTCGGCAAAAGGCGGGATCGAACCCGGGTGGATCGCGTCAAAAAGCCAACGACAAGCGCATATCCATCTGCACCACTGGAGCTGATGTTTTACACCCACATTGTTATAATGTTTTCTGAATTGTTGTTGTGCTTTCTGAATTGTTATTTTAATTTTAATTATTTATTAATTTTTTAGACTTGCATTTGCGTTTGTAATTTGTTATTTTGTTTTCAGAATTGGGATTTGCTTTGTACTTCTCGGCCACCGTACTCTTTTTACCCGTTCAACACAACAATTCTCAGTCCGAAAAATCGGATGCTTAAAACGTCTCCATATTTTTCTGCAAACTTAAATATATGGTTTGAAAATGAACACATGTACTACAAATAGTTTAAATACTGTTGAATTTCAGTACACTTTCATCTTCGCAAAGTGGATGTTTCAATTTACCGTTTACACATTCAAACAAGAAAATAAATTGTAGTTACCTTTGCCAACTGAAGATGAATCTTCTTGTGATCGATATGATGAAGGTCTCCAATAATCGGCAAAGACCATGGTCCAGGAGGAAAGTTCTTCGGCGCTTTATTTCTGATATAATCACTCAGCAATAAAAACACACACGAAAATATCAAAATACTCGTGATATCGATCCACTCGTAAAGGCGCAGCAGATCCATGGTGGTTATTTTTTTGGATTGTTAAGGTTCAGTATGTGAATTTAGTAAGTAATAATTTATAATCGAGAATTAATTTACACAGTTAACATGATCTACTCCTTGCGTTGCCTGATATTGGTGTCCTTTGACCGTCTTGGCACAATTTCACGTTCTGAAACGTAATTACGCAATATACATAATGTAGTTCAACATTCTCTCTATTGCGGCGTCCCAATGCGCATATTTGGGCGCATGAACAGGACAGATATGATAATTTGTCATGAACTTTACACTCTTTTGGAACTTTTGGAAAGATGACAAAATCTCATTTGTGTTGTTTAAAGAAGATATTAGGTATTAATTATACCATTTTATTTCCTATTATTATTTCAGGGTTTCTGCAGGTTTGATGATGGTAAATTTAAGCCTTTTTAAAGACCTTTTTAAGGCCAAGTAAATAAATAAAGGAATAGGCCTACATGGAAAGGGACACAATACATCAATATAGTCCTTAAATGTAAAAATTAGTTTATTAGCAACACTTTAAAGTCTGAAAGTACAATGTCTAACATATCTCCATTATGTTCTAATTCATTTTACAAAAAAAAACAAAAACAAAAGGAAATAAAGTACTGTATAAAGTACAAGTACTTTAAAATACTGTACTTCTCGATGTTCGTCCTCATTTTTTTGCCTTGTTTTCCAGTGCAAATGTCTTAAGAGCCTTAAATCAAGATATATTAACTTGAAAAGCAAAATGACATAAAATAAGAAGTCTTGTTTGTTTGTGGAATTGATCAAAATGATGTGAGCTTATGATTGAAACAAGAAGAGATATTTGCCAATGGGCTTAGAAAAATTATCGTAATTCAAAGGAAGTTCTATTGACATATTTGTTCTTGTTTTAAGCATAAAATAACTTAATTTTAACTAAGTCAAATACGTATTGGAAGCCCACTACTGAGATCAGATCAGGTATCATATCAAATTATACACTTTAATCAGGTTAGACGCCATATTGAATTTAACATGGATGAAAACTTGGCTGTGAGGAATAGACTGCCAGTCTTTACATTGCTACACATTGTTTCATGGAGTTTTTGTCTACCGTTTTTTTTATTTTTTTGGTAAAGACGTTTCGTCAGCTGAACAATCGGTATGTTGTACAATCCACTGAATGCATGTACTTCTATCTCTCACAGCTTTGTTTTCATTCCTGTCAATAATTAAATATGGCGCTAGCCTGACTAAGGTCCATTGTAAAATATAAATATATTATACATTGCATCACAAATTTATCAAAAAAATACTTTATCTAATTTACATTTTAGTGAACAAATAATCCCCCTGGTGTAACCTGGTTTTAAAGGCACAATGCTGGTAGCTCACAATTCCCCATTTCTAGGGATTTGAATCAAAAACCTCTGGGTTCCCAGCCCTGATCTTTACCCACTGAGCCAATTCACCCATTTCCACAGCTTTTCAAAAATAAATGGATACATATTCTCTCTGTACATGTCTCATAAACACAAACAATTGATGATCACATATTTGTGTGAATTGCTTGTCTTAGCGTAGCACTGCACATAATTTATACGGTTGGGGACATCGAGTGGTACCCAGTTTGTAATCCATGCTGGGCTCTACACCTGCTGGTGAAGAGAAAGTGAAGCGCTGCAGCAGGGAGGAGAAAAAGAGGAACAGCTCCATCCGTGCCAGTTGCTCCCCAGGACACACCCTCTTTCCTGAAATTAGAAACAAAGAGAAAATACCTAATAAGATTAAATATGGAACTAAATGTATTCCAATATCAAATATTGCGGTGTGGAAGAAAAAAAAAAGTTTAATATTAATATGCAAATCTCCCATGAAAGCATGCTTCTACTGAGCCCTTAAAAGGGCCATGGTGATGGAAAAGAACATTGCAAGAAATAATCACAACTGTAATAAAACAAGGTTGTATTTGTTAGGTCACAATAACATGAAATAATTGCAAGGCATAAAATCTGAATTTTTTTTTACATCGAGAATGGCTTCCATATAATTCATTTCACTCAAAAAGAGTAACTTTTTGTAGGGCTATGGGAAATTCAGCTATTTACAGCACAACTGGAAACTGTCAAAATATATCAGCTGATTACTAGAAAGCAGAGTTCTATACCAAGAGAAAAAGGTAAAAAGGCATCTCTCTTTCTGAATTTGCCCTCAGCATCCAGGAAGTGACCCGGGTTAAAAGAGTGAGGCGTCTCCCACTCGGACTCATCAAACAGCACTGATGTCAAACTGCCAATCACAGCTGTGCCCTAAATCAAAACGAATCAAAATGTTTATGGAGGACCAGTGGTGATTGTTTTAATCTATCAGTCAATCACACACAGTCTGAACTGTCCCAGTGTCCATAAATATACAGTTCTCTACACCCACTATACCTTTGGAATAGAGTATTCTCCTATCTGAGTATCTTCCACAGTAGCCCGGGGCAAATTTAATGGGGCAATATTTCCAATCCTCTGTATCTCATGAATGACAGCATTGGTGTAGGGCATGTTGTCTTTGTCTGATGAAGATGGCTGTCGTGACCCTCCCACAACACCATCAATCTCCTCCTGAACTTTGGCTGAAAATACAATGTAGAGACAGTCCAAGACAAAACTAAGAGTGTGAGTATATACCACATTTTATGTGCACAAGAATGCAGTTTCTCACAGTAAACTCTCACCCTGTATCTCAGGATATTTTATCATGTAGAGAAGACCCCAGTACAGAGTAGTGGAGGTGGTCTCAGTTCCTGCTACAAACAGATCCAGAGCACAGATGCACAAGTTCTCCACATCAAAACCAGCAGCTGTGTCGTCTTTAAGCTAAACAACATGATTGAGAGGTATTTCAATTCAGTCACATTATTATAACCACAGCATTCCACTTACTGACACCTGCCTAAGAAAGGGTCTTACTTTTTCCATCTCAGCAAGGAAGCAGTCAATGTAGTCTCGAGGATTTGATGGATCATAATCCACTCTGTGTGCATTCACCTTCTCTCGAACAAAGTCAATCACCTTCTGCCACAGAGCAAACGATTTTTTGTGCGGTCCAGGCATTTGCCGCATGAGCCATGGGAACATGTTATACAGCTAGAGAAAGAAGAACAAAAGGCTTTAGCTGAGCAACAAAGATGCTAAAGAGAGCAAAATTAACTTATTAAAATATGAAAATGTTTACTTGAGCCCAGACGCTTCCATCCAGATACATAGCCTCATTGATGTTCTTCAACAGAGACTGGAAGTCATTGTCACTGTACTCAAATCGATTACCAAACACAAGCACACAGATCACATTTGAGACAGCGTTGTTCAGCAGGATTTGAGGGTTAAAGGGTCGACCTGGAAATGTTATCATGATAACTGTAAATTAATTCACATTGTGCCTCCAATCCTAAATGTTTGTAGAACAACAAGGTTAGTTTCAGTTCTTTCCATTTCACAAACTTAAATACATACCATTCTCACTTGAAATGGCCTCATTCAGAAAGCAACATTCAAGATGGATAGAGGGCTCCAGGCTTTTCTTTCCCAGTCCAAAGTTTCGAAGAGTTGAGAGTGCAAATCTTCTCTGATGCTTCCATTTATATCCACTGGCACCAACTAAACCTGATCACAACACATTTAAATATTACTTTGCCATTTCTCACTCACTGCCACAAGTACTGATCTCAGAGCAATTTTATGAAAAACCTATTTAAATTGTTCTTTTTCTCTAGTGGCATATGCCTCAATGTAGGTTTGAATTCACCGCGGTCAGTTTATATTGAAACCACCATTCACTATTTTAAATTATATTTACAAGACTGACCTTTGTCTTCGGCCATGTCATAAATCATAGGCAACACGGGTCGATCAGCGAGGTTGTCGCCTTGTTGTAGATAGACCTCCTTCACTCTTTTGTACCCATTCAACATAACAATTCTTGGTCCGAGAAATCGAATGCTTAAAATGTCTCCATATTTTTCTGCAAACTTGAAAATATGATTTGAAAATGAACTCATATAGGCTACTATAAAAATAGTTTAAATACTGCCGAATATCAGTTCACTTCCATCCTCGCAAAGATGATGTTTCGAATTGCATACCGTCACAGATCCAAACAAGAATACTGGCTGTATTTACCTTTGCCACCTGAAGATGAATCTTGTTGTGATCGATATGATGAAGGTCTCCAATAATCGGCAAAGACCATGGTCCAGGAGGAAAGTTTTTCGGCGCTTTATTTTTGATATAATCAGCCAGCAATAAAAAAACACAGGAAAATATCAAAATAGTCTTGATATCGATCCACTCGTAAAGACACAGCAGATCCATGGTCAGGTCAGTATTGCTGCCAGATTAGGTCGATGATTTCCAAAAGTTCCCCCAAGTCCCTCCCATTCCAGGATAACCCGCCCAAAACATTCACTGCCAAAAGAATGTGATAATGTCTGCCATAGCTGCTTTTTACCTCCTTAAAACTAAATAACAAATAAAATTATAAAAATAAATAAATTTCCCAGACAGGAGAAAATACAGATTAAAACATGGCAAATACAGCAAATTAGCAAATATGACCAAAAATGTTTCTACCCAAACAAGTAGAAAATATTAAAGGATGACAAACTGCAAACGATAGTCATGAAAATGAACAGACCGTAACCCTCGGAAATCGTTTCATCCTTTACACAAAAAAGGTACAAAAAGGCATGGGCGTAGCTTGTGGGGGGGCCAGGGGGGCCTGGCTCCCCCATAGCGATTTAAGAATTTTACTAAATATTTATTTATAAAGTTTTTTCTATGAAGTAAAAATACATATAATGCAGTTAATAATACATGTAAAAGTGAATACGTAAAAGTTAATACATTTTAAATTGATATTGTAAGTAAATTAATAAATCAAAACAAACTTAACGTCTCCCTCAATCTCATTTGCGTAAGAATTGTCACGTGACGAATCTGCATTTTGGTGGATAATAGACTTAACGGTAATGCTTGCCTGTTGTGCGGAATAAAATTATATTCCGCGCTTTTAACAACATACACAAACTGCAGAGAAATCTGGAGACAACGAAAAACTCCGATGAAATTAATGCCGTGCTTAATGATTCCGGACCAGGACAATCAGATAAAGGTGATCCACAGGACGCAGCCGGGTTAGCCGCACACTACTTTTATGTCTACCATTTACATCCAAATGTTATTTAATTTTCACAGAACACAACCTTTAAATAGATTTTAGAATATAAACTGTTTATCGTCTATTCAATAAGACTAAATAAAAAGTGTGCGCCTCATTGTGCATAACTTGAATCAAGCCCAACAAATGTCTGTTTTAAAAACAGTGGATGAGTAATTCACTCCTTGATTTGCTTAATAAAAGCCTCCTTTGAGATCGTTTTGACAGAGATGTTTATTGTGCATTTTAAACGTGTTTATTGCTAAGTTTAGTGTGACAAAATAGAAGCGCAGCTGTAATTCGTGGGCAATGTATGTGGTTACCATGACAACCTCACGCCCTTGCCACTGCTCTATGTGAATGTGAATATGTAGATTTACTATAGCAAAACTAAAATGTGTTTAAAAGTACGTCTGACCAAATCCACCGGTTCGGTTTGGCCCCCCCCAAACTCAAACGTCAAGCTATGCCTATTTGGTAGTAAAACAAAGAGTTGCACGTTTTATGGGTGCAGAGTGGTGATAATTATTTTGTACAACATTTGCAACTGCTTTTTATCACGTAATTAGAAGCATTAAAAATTAAATTGTGTCATCTGTTATAGGGACTACTGAACAGACATTTAGAAGTTGGTTTTAAAATTCAAAGTATAAAAAAAATAAAGCTCTGTAAACACTTGCATTTAATGCAGGTATGCTAATGAAAAGTTCTACACACGCTTGTGGTCTTCATGCTCTCTTGAACACTTGGACCAAATACAGGAAATACGTCATATAAGTGGTTAAGTGCAAAGACAGCAAGTGCAGGTATTTGGACAAGGGGTGATGCGCTCATCTAGGGTGACCACCCGTCCCGCTTTGCGTTGTACCCTGTTTTTATACAGTCTATGGTTGTACCGCACAACATTTTCACCCCTTGTCCCGCACGTCGCATATTGAGAAAATGTCCCGCATTTTCATCAGTCTGTTGGTTTTTAATTGTCATATTAAGAAAACGTGCATGCGTTCTTTTGCCTTTAAAAAAAAGCTTTTTATTTATTCTTTTTGCGCGCTTCGTCATCGTCAACCGCCTCACACAAATACGTCAGCCATTTTTTAAAAATCCTATCCAATTGTTGAAAAGAAAAAGAGTAAACCCGGTCACTAAGAGGCTGTTACTGCTGTCAATCAAAATGTGGAGCGGGTGATTCCTTGTGTTCCCTGTCAGAAAACAAATTTACCCATGTTCCGGATAATCCGGTAAAGTAAAAGCTATTTTAAGGCGTCATAATGGCAACAAAAAAGAGAAAATGTTATTTTAGTAAAGACTGGGTTAGGACATACCTGGGTGAATGTCTGTGGTTGGCAACATTGCTCAGTGCTACGAAAATACGTTGTAAATACAACGCTTTCCAGAGCGCGCAAACAAATGTGACCGTGGACCACAAACCCAGTCTTAAGTGTAAACTTTTCAAAATTTAGATTTATACATCATCTGAAAGCTAAATAAATAAGCTATCCATTGATGTATGGTTTGTTAGGATAGGAAACTATTTGGTCGAGATACAACTATTTGAATATCTGGAATCTGAGGGTGCAAAAAAATCCTTTAAATTTATCCAAATGAAGTCCTTAGCAATGTATATTACTAATCAAAAATTACGTTTGATATATTGACGGTAGGAAATTTACAAAATATCTTCATGGAACATGATCTTTACTTACTATCCTAATGATTTTTGGCATAAAAGAAAAATCAATAATTTTGACCCATACAATGTATTTTTGGCTATTGCTACAAATATACCCCAGCGACTTAAGACTGGTTTTGTGGTCCAGGGTCACAAATGCGCACTGGAGCATTTACCAAACTGTTTCGCCAATATCCTAATATATTACACTTTTAACTAAGGGTGCTTTTCACTGCGTGAGAAAATGGACGTGTGGCGTGAGAGTGTGAGAAAAGTGTCAATTTCGTGAGTTGGCAGCCCTGCTTTAAATCAGTATTTACATAGCATAACAGTAGTAAATGTATCTGTCTCACACGTGTCCCACATTGTTACATTGAATTACTGTCAATTACCATTCCCACAATTTCCCAAAAGTAAATGGATACATGTTCTCTCTGTACATGCGTCACAAACATACACAATCCATAATCACGTGTTAGTGTGAATTGCAATGTACAGTATGTGGAAAATAATGTGTTTTTTTAACTTTAAACCGCATAAACACATTTCATTACACCAAATACACAAAATAATGTTCTTTTTAGCAGCATCATATGACCCCTTTAACATGGCACTGCACATAATTTATATGGTAAGGGACATCGAGTGGTCCCCATTAAATAATCAAAGCTGGGCTCCACACGGGCTGGTAAAGAGAAAGTGAAGCGCTGCAGCAGGGAGGAGAAAAAGAGGAACAGCTCCATCCGTGCTAGTTGCTCCCCAGGACACACTCTTTCCTGAAAATCAAATACAAACAATCTTTCTCCTATATAACTATAGAAACAACCTATATTCTACTAGTCTGAATCACAAAATTGTTCACTCAAAATGTGGATCCATTTTATAGGAGCAAGAAATTAAACTTTGCTTTTTACATTACAATACAAAATCATCAAAGTATAAATGTGGATTACTAGAAAACGTATTTTCCTGTACCTAGAGAAAAAGGTAAAAAGGCATCTCGCTTCCTGAATTTGCCCTCAGCATCCAGGAAGTGACTCAGGTTAAAAGAGTGAGATGTCTCCCACTCAAACTCATCAAACAGCACTGATGTCAAACTGCCGATCACAACTGTGCCCTAAAGAATCAAAATAGATTAGACTATGTTCAAGATTTTTTTTAAGAATATGAAAATTAAATATTTAACTCTCTGGTATTCCTTACTATTCCTCACAGGGTCACACTAAGACAAGAATATGCTTACTTTTTTTTAAAGGGGTCATATGATGCGATTTCAATTTTTCCTTTCTCTTTGAAGTGTTACAAGCTCTTGGTGCATAAAGAAGATCTGTAAAGTTGCAAAGACTAAAGTCTCAAATCCATAGAGATATTCTTTATAAAAGTTAAGGGTCAACCACGCCTACCTAAAATGGATCGTTCTAACACGCCCCCACATATCTACGTCACAATGTGGGAAGATTTGCATAACGCCGCCCAAATGTAATATATATATATATATATAAGGCTGTGTATTCCCTAGTGGCTTATATGAGTATTTTCAGACATAATTAGTTACTTTTTTTAGGTTTTGTAATTGGATATATTCAGACAAACTTCAAAGACTACTTCGTCGTGTCTGATTTGTAGATTTGACCCCCCAAAATTGCTCTGTATTTTCATTCATTTAACATGGCAGTCATTTTTGATCACAAATGTGACAAATGCCACAAAAGTCACCAAGTTTTGTACTGTTCCGTTGAAGAAATGCAGTAAAAGCTTTTAGCTAAGAGTTTTCTTTCACAAAGCTGCTGAGACAAACTTTTACTAAGGAATAGACAGAAGTCTTAAGCTAAGAGTATAAGTGCAGGGTTGACCTTGTTGCTATGGATGATGTCAGCATGCTTACTAACTATGCACACAGTGATTGGCTAATCGTCTCTGTCAGAGATTTATTCATATAAATATTGTAGAGTGCAATATTATGTTGCCATATTCAAATAAAGGTTTAAAAATGAAAAAATGTTAATTGCCGCATTCAAATAAAGATTTTAAAATGCAGGATAAGCTCATAAGTATATGTTCAGCTAATTGTCAGCCTCTTACAAGTATGCTTCTCATAATTAGTGAATATGCATATAAACAGCCTTTTAATTAACAGAGTAGAATAATCATGGCTGATAGTAATACTTGCAAATGTAAAAAAAAAAAATAATAATAAAAATGGACGCAAGAACAGCGTTACTATTAACAGAGTTACTTCTTGCCCAACTGGTTAATGAAAACAAGGATATAATCAAAGGAAAATTTGGAGTTGGGATAACCTCCAAAACCAAAGGCGATGCCTTTTTAAAAGGACATTATCATCAAATGTTTCTAAAATATTTATGTTCCGATGCAGACAGCCATTTTAGGATAGTTTGTGGCTTGGTCTTAGTGATTTAGGGGTCCTCTTCACTACTCCTAACGTTTCACAGATTTAGGAGCTAGTTTTAG